ACATGAAATAGAAGAGAGACGGGTTGATTGAAAAGAGAGAGAAAGTGAGAGAGACAGAAAGAGAGAGAGAGAGAGGATAGAAACACAGAAGAATGAGATAGAGAGAATAAAGAAAAAGCAAAATAGAGAGCAAAAAGATAGAGCAAAAAAAGTGAGAGCAGGAGAGTAATAGAAATGATTTTTTTAATCATTAAAGACGTCATTAAAGCTGCAGCTCAGAGTAAAAACATTGTTTCTAAGTATAAAACTTTGAAACCGAGGAAAACTACAACCGTTCAGAAAGTTTTTTTAAAGAAGCCAACTCATGAGATCTATGGTTAGTCTTGTTTCCTGTTGGGGTTTTCCTGTTTCCTGTTGAGTGGGGTGCTCAACGGTAGTAAAACAGTATTGTCTATTCAAATTCAATAAATTCGAGCAGAAAAATGTATGTGTTTGATGTTCTGCTACTAGTTATATATTAAACTGCCTCTAGGTGGAGTAGTAAGGAACTAAGTCCTTTGCTTGAAAGCTTGGATTCACATGAGGGAACTCTCAAAAAGTCAGATGTTGGTTCATTTGGAAATAAGAAAATGTGATGAAACGTTAAACAAAAAAAATATAGAAATATTGTTCTACTTAGTAAAAAAAACATTTTGAATTTTTATTCCTAAAATGTTTGTGTTATTTACATTTTCTGCCATTATATGATGTGTTGAACGAAAGATATTAGACTTTACGGAAAGGTAGGATTAAAAACAAACTTGCCATGAAAAGAAAACATGAATAGAATTAAACTGAACAGCAGATCTGAACAGTCCAGCATCATTAGAAAAGAGGAGTTATGGCCGCTGTCTCTCTTATCCTTCCCGAGAGCCAAGAGACCCACCTGACCTATTGATCTACAGCTGTCATTGCACACCCTGAACACCATTATCACCTCAGTGTAACAGCTCTTGCTTCATCTCCATTTCTTCTGATGCAGCGACACTCACAAGTTCATAAATAACAATTATACTGATAATAAAACCAATATTTATTCTCCATATTCAAATGCGGGCTGGGAGGAGATGGTTTATGCCTGTGATGGGGACATGAAGGCCATCTTCATTAATGTAGTCTGCTGATGGATAGGTTGCGGTAGTCTGTGCATCTACAGGAAGACGCTGTAAATGTCAGGCCTGGGAGCACGTCTTCTTATTTTCAGAAAACACCGAGTGGAGAGCTGACCTTTACAGCACATTCAAAGCATCCGGCAGAGAATTACACAAGTTTTGTGAAGGCGGAAACTGGAATTTTGAGGTTTTAGCAGATGCTGTTGGATTTTACGTCATAAACGGGTTTTATTTGATAACATGCGGGATTGTCTTGTTTTGTTTTTTATGGTAATATGGCACTTTTGTGAATTACAGTTACAAAGTGGAGTTAAGTAGAAGATGTGACTCAGCAGAAGGAATGATTCAATCATCTGGAAAGAGAAGATTCATTGAAATTAAGACACGCATGACCATAGCATAGTTATTTGTTTCTAAATACAGTCCAGCTCTTAATGTTCTGTCATTGATATGAATGAAGTCTCTTGAGGTAGATAGTGGTGAAGTTCTTTATCTTTTCTTCTTGGCTAAAAGCCTCAAGCTCTTGTGAAATCTTGGGCTGTCTTGCATGAACTGCACATTTGAATTAAAATTTGCTTTTCTACATTTTTGCTCAGCGTATTTTACAGTGGTATCCCGAGATACGAAACTAATCTGTTCCAGGGTGACGTTCGGGTCTCGAACATTTCGTATCTCGAAGCAAGTTTTACATGTAAAACATCTAATCTGTGCAACGGTTCTCAGAAACAACAGTATAAGTTGATAAAATAAATGGAAAACCAGAGAGCGCAGCACGACGTCATACAAACAAGCGGAAAATACTGCAGAAATGTTTGTTATTGTTCAAATCGCAAATTTTTCTTTGTATCTCAAAGCAAAAAATTTCCCGCAAGACCTTTCGTATCTCGAACATTTCGTGACTCGAAGCATTCGTATCTCGGGGTACCACTGTTTTTATATATAGTTTTTCGTAATGAAACATTTTGAAAAAACATAAAGCTTAAGGGTGCTCGACAGACTTCATGCCGTGCAATGTAATAGATTTATTTTTTGATTTGTAAATAAAAGGTTGTATTGGAAATTCGTTGATATTGTAAATGAAATACTGGGGTGGAATTTTACTGTAAAGTAATAATGAATGATGTTTTTCTTTATGTTAGCGTGATGCTTTATATAACTCACTCTCCTCTTATATCTCGACAACGGCTGATATATCCCCCTAAATCCTCCGTTCTAATCTCATAAACAAGTTCAGCGTAACACAGTACCAGCACACTGACAAACAGCCCCCAAACCCACCATCAGCACTGCCCCAGAATCTCAAATATAATGCAATCTGTAACATAGAGGATGAATTTTTGGCAGGGAAATTATTTTCATGCAACGGGGGGGATGAGTTGTGCGCTTCTGTCCTATCGCTCAGAGAAAATAATGGATTGAGAATAACTCTAAGATGAATATCTCAAAGGCAAGCCGGTGTCCGTTATCTTTCATAATCCTTGCGTTTACACGCTTTGCTTGTGGCTTTGCTTCTTAGATCACCAATTAGTAGTGGCCTTATGGGGTCAATCTGAAAAGACGACAGCTGCATATCTTTCTCTCTGTGGAAATAAAGGAGAGGAATAAATGAAGAGAAGTTTATTTACACGCGGTGTCGCCCATGAGAGTTCATGAAGGGTTGATTTAGTGCTGGATGCCTGATTAATATTATTCTGTAGGAGAAGGAATCTCCATGGTAGCACACAAGTATAATTTGGAGGAACTTCTAGTCTTGACTTGAAATAAACCACCTTTTTTCATGGGGGGAACATGAAAAGCATGATAATTACTTTGATTGAGATGGCGCACAGCCTTTGATATCTGCATGTTTTTCATAAAGAGACTCATATCTGAGAATCAGTTAATTGTGACTGGAAGGTGCATCAGGAAGGTCAGGATAGGTTTGTGCTAAGTAATTTATTTCTTTTTTAATTATGCAGTCTGAAATGCAAATATTGGTAAGATCTAAAAGCCGTAATTGGCTCTGATGTTTAATTCAGTGGAAATGCATAACAACTTGGAAAGTGATACTTTGTTTGATTGCTTTTCTTGCTTTCAGTCTCCTGAATTTATAACCGTCAGTAAGTGAACTTGTTTTTCTGCTCATTAGAATTCCTTGTAAACTTTTCCTCCATTTGTGGTTTAATTGCGCTTAATAATTTGAAAATAAGATGGCCTTATTTTGACCTTTTATTAAGTCTTTATTTTGCGAAACGCACTCAGATACGCTTGTTGTAAAACTATCAAATATGCATAATTGCCACTCACAGCACAAGATGTGACTTTTGATAAGATTTTTACACAATTAAAATGGAAATTTATTAAGTGAGTACTGGTTATCGTATGGGATGCTGGGTGAATTTCAACATGTTTCCAGTAAAAAACGGTTTGTGCTACAAGGATCAAATATGACCCATTCCTTTTGGTACAGCCAAAGAATTTCTGAGAATTTTTTTATTTGTTCATTTTTTTTCTTGTTCAATGGGTTCATTAGGCGGAAGGCACTGAAAAGAAGCTGAATCCAAACAAAGCTTTTATGAGCTGAAGGTTTACAAACCTTCACAAACCTTTAGAAAGCTGATTTACATTTACAAACACATGGAATGCTACACTGTTTAACATTTGTCAACAAATTGTTTAAAAACCTAAGCAATTTTCAGGGAAATTGCTTTCTGAACTCCATTTTTAGCAAAAGGCAGTTTGCTCTCTGTGTGCTGAACCCAGTTAGGTTCAAAATACAGTTTAACTGTTGAATACAAAAATGTAATTTTCAGCTTGAATGTGAAATTGCCACGAGAGGGTGTTAAAATGTACCTTAGTGTCTAAAGTACTAAGATTTATAATGGCTATAATACACCATTATCATTTTTGTCAAGACTCTTGGTTAAACAATATCTGAAAATACTTTGACACTTATTTAAATGATTGTGAATCTAAATTTCCTTTTCAATTTAAAGTTTATTTTTAACATAGTTCAAGTTTAATAAAAACAAACCTTTTAATGTCTAAACTATAAAACACAGGTTCACACATTTTCTTTTTCTATATTGTACCTGAACGTCTCTGGGTGTAAATATAACCTAGTCATACCAGATTACAATGGCATAAACTAGTTTCGGGAGTTCCTTCCATCATTTATTATTCGCAATAAGTAAATAACACCAAGCGGAACCAAAACAATTGGTCTAGGTAAATTCAAATCTTTCATTGAAATTATTTTAGGATTGTAAGTGGTAAAGCTTTGGAGGGGTTACATGTAATCTTAGCCCACTGTTGTTTCTTTTAAATTAAATTGGCATGGTTGTCATTTTTAATGGATGTCTATGTAAATTGTATCTCACTAACAAACATAGTTTAACATTTTACAAATACTAATAAAGATTATAGTGATTTTTACCATTGATTAAAAAAATATGAAATCACTACTGCCATTGGGCTACTTTGAGGCAACCATGAGTGCAATATGAGCACTGCCATGACAGTCAGAGAGAGGGTGCACGTGGATTTTGTTCTAAACACTAATTTGAGAACATCGTCTCTTTCTCATGCCATGATGACAGTGGTCAGTCAGCTCAGTGTAGCTGTGGATCATATTTGTCAATTACACGAAAAATTGAGCCATCGTGAGCCACATGAAAATAAACTTCAAACAAAACTTTGTTTACTGTAGAGATAACTTTCGAAAATCATTAAAACTGTTTGTGTAAATAAAAACTTTGGGTTTTTTGGCTTGTGTCGGCTAGAAATCATTCTGCAGCCAGGCATTTTTTTTACTGATGTGTAAAATATATATTATGAAAGTACATATAATAAAATAAACGTATATATAATTTAAAACATTATTTTTTTACATTTTTATGCATTGAGCAGAAGCTTTTATCCAAAGCAACTTACATTTGAAAGGGATTTGAACCCATGACCTTTGTTTTGTTAGCACAATGCCCTACCAACTGAGCCACGTTTTAATTTAAGAAGAAATGATAAATAACATCTGCCCAGCTTGGACGTAAGCGCTTCCCTTGTGCTCTTGGAGGCAGCATATGCTGTCTTCAGCTCCAGATGAGCCTAAAAGCATCTTGCAAAGTCCACAGAGATTTGTTTAGCTGAACAGCCTGATGGAATATGAAGCCACTGAGCAGGGTGCATTGAGATGGAAGCGTGGGTGACTCATTCTTCTATTATCCGTCTAGATCATGAGGCAGCCTTACATCATTAGCCCTATTAGCATTACAGTAAGGGGCCCTTCTCTCGGCTTCAACCAGCTCTGGAACATTGTTGCAGTTTGCAAACTATTTTCAGTGCGGTTCAATCAAAACAAATATGTTTCGGTGTCTAACTAAACAGACAGGAAATGACATTATGCACCTGTGCGGATGATGCAATCTCAGTCACACACAACCAAATTAGGCTGCCAGAACTCGTACAATATTTATTGGGGCACGGTGCTATTCTGGTTTGCTAAAAGGCACACTGGAGAGATCCTAATAGAAAATGGGCCTCGAAATGCAATTACAGCACTGATGATGTTTATCTGGCCATTTTTTTTTGCTGGGTTCTTCTCAACAGACTAATTACCCTCTGTGTGATGTTATTTATGAATTCATAATCTTTTTCTGTGTGAAAAGCATAATAGATCAAATCGCACTACACTGCCAAGTCTCTGACACTTGCACTGTTAATTACGAGCCTCATTTGCACGTACAAAATGAAAGCGTTTTAAAAGTGGTGCTTTTTAGTATTTTGTGCATTTTTTAAAAGAATTACCATGAATCAAGATGACCAAAATAGTTGTCAAATGCTGCTGATGAAAATCAATCTTTAATGTTTTGATTCTGCGGGTGCTGATCAGATTGGAAGAGACTTCTAGTTGTTTTTATTCCTCCTTGAGCTTCATCAAACAAAAACGAAAAGAAAGAAGAGGGAAAATGAATTTTGGAGCTCCTCCCTAGAGTTGAAGCTTGTGCAGTGCTCCATGCATGCTAATAAAGGTGTGGGATGGAGTTAGGGGGGGACTCGGAATATGCAAGATTGGATGTATTCCCCTGGAACCCGTAGGGAGGTTCATTACTTTTGTATGGCTCTTGTTTTCTGGTTTATCTTCAAATAGATTCCGCTTAGGATTGATTAAGGATGACACTAATGTATGGTGTGCTATTTTCTCTCTTTTACCAACTGAAATGTACACAGAGCTTGAATAAAAGTAATAAATTGCCCAGTAGAAATATATTGACATTGTATAGCGCAGAGCCTGAAGCGCAGGAGGATAAAAGTGAATCCATGCATATCAATAATCTGATGTGACAGCTGCAACGTTAAATGATTTTAAAGCCATGAAATTTTGCATCTTAAGGGGTGTGGTAGCAATCTCTCTTCCTCGCTCTTCCACCTCCACACAGGAAACCCCCAAAGGAGGGAATGAACAAACACACAGAGGTGGGTGTTCTGTGCATTTTCACACCCTACTTTTAACATTGTACTGATTGGGCGCGCACAAAAATAGAAATGAGAAAAAGAAAAGTTTACTGCAAACATAAGTGGATGTTGTTTTATAGAAAACAGAGGAAAACCTGTTTAAAACAGGCTCAGCATTAAAGAATACACCCCCTTTAAAAGTATGAATTGAATCAGTAGCAACAATTTCCAAACTTTTCACAAGGCAGAGTTTTATTGAACACTTGGATTACAAAATCTTCAGTTTTACTCAAGTTTGTTGAGTAACAAAAAGTACAACATCTAGTTTTTGGTTCAATCTTTTTAATTGTGATGGGATTTATGGCTCTATGGAGGGAGCCGGAGCTCAACTTTTTGTGTGAATAAATCATTTCCCTTTTTTCTGATTTTGTGACATTTTTCTTCCATGGGGAGCCATTGCTGATAGCATGAAGTGGGAACGGGTTGTCTTTGTTAAGTAATGTCCTTTCATATTCACCTGTGGGTTGACTGTCAATTAGAATTTTGTAATCTTAAATGTGGCTTTTCTCCTGCGACTATAATTTGGGCTGTTCTCATTTTTGCAATAGGGTCTTGAGAGAATTTGTTAGGAAATTCACTTTTTAGTATGTGCAAATTAAAAAATCTAGTTTGTAATCAATATTTTTTTGTAGTTGATTCTGAAAGGAAACCAAAGGTTTTCTGACAAATGTAATAAAGTTATTTATATATGTGCAAAGAAACTCAAGATGTTTCCAGTGTATTAATGGCATTTAGTGTATTTCAGCATAATGCAAATCATCCTTCTCTGCTCACATTAAAGGACCCGTTCTTTTGCCATAATAAGATAAGCACAACATCTTTCCCCTACTGACACACCCGCTGCCTGTTAGATTTTGTGAAGCCCTGCCTAGTCCCCAGTCTTTGTTTCCGATTTCGAGTGCCCAGGGGTCTGATGAGGTAATGTGAGCGCCCCAACATCCCCACTGTACCAGCCGTACTGTACTAATGAGGAACCCCCCCTTCACCCCCACCCTCCTCCCACGAGAGCCGAGGGGAGCAAGGGAGGCTCCATCAGCTCAGGTTTCATGTTCCAGCACCTCACATCACCTCCAGCTCCTTCCTTGTGTCTCTGAGAGGATAGAGTCTTTTCAGGTACAGATAATTACTCCTGTCATCACTGAGGTATGTCTCGTAGTGCAAGGGAAAAATGAAAGCTTTCTACCCCCCAAAAGCAGCGCAACTCATCTCTCAGTCTTCTAAATTATTCATTCACAAGGTTAATGAAAATATGCTAATGGGGGAAAATTGTGCTGAACGAAAAGATACGATTGTAAAGACCCGGGTGTCCTTCATAGTTCGACTGGGAGCTTGCTTTAATTATGTTTGAAAATGCTAATAAAGACATTATTATGTTTACAAACACAGAGGTGCTTAATAATTAAAAAATTACTGCTTTAAAGAGTTTGTAGATTGTTAAGTGCTTTTTAAATTTTTCCCTCTTTTCCACATTTTCGCGCATCACACAAAAATATGATAACGCCCATCAAATTATGCAGCTATCCATGAAGATCATCAGCCAGTCACAATCATGTAAGACACAGATGCATTCTCATCTCATTGGACGACACATGTGATGCAGCCAATCAGAAGCAAAGGAGGGCGGGACTTTAGGAAAAACTTTGAGCTCCCTTTCCTTTTTTATTGGCTTGTTTTGCATAGAACGTGGTTGAAATATTAAAGTTGGACTTTTTCAATTTCAAGATTACATTGTATTTAAATTCATTTCATACTTCATATTGTTGTATTTTTTTATTTTTTTCATGAAATGTCAAGACGAAAATAATGGCATTCAAAGCAACATTTAATAACAGTTTAATTATAACCAACCTATTATTGTTACTGTAAGTTAAGCTTTTTGTGCAAAGTACGGTATTTATTTATTCCTGCAACACCTCCCCTATTATTAATTAAATAAATTATTAATTAAGTAAATGCAGTATGAAAAAATTGTAAAAAGTAAGTAACTAAAACGTACTAATAAAGCACATTTCTACATTTCCACAGACTCACCACAACCGTAAAATTGACATTTCAAATACGACATCAGATAATAAAAATAAATACATTTTAAGTTTTGACTTAACATTACAGATGCCATTGGAGCAGCCAAGATATTTTCATAAATAATAATTTAATACTCATAAAAACATTTAAATAAGTCAATAGTAATAATAATAATATTAACAATAATACGTAATATGTTTTATTTATATAGCACCTCACTAGAGTCAAGGAGAGAGAGACGTAAATCAAATTTCACAGCGGGGGATAGAACAAGTTATTTGAGACACAGAAAAGAGATTAAATGAACATAGAAGTCAGTTGAGCAAATCCTTTTCTGTAAGAATCCTCGTGTAATTTGAGGTGTTTGTGAATAAATTAAGTGTTACTCTTATATTTGCGCTTAAATTTAATACTTTTTTTTCCATTTTAATAAAACCGTTTTATGTAGGAACTTCTCTGTATTTTGTGATTGTCTTTTGGGGTTTAAGTAATAAATTAAATAATCGAGTTAACATAAATACATTAATAATCCTCGATTTAAAGGTCTGATACTTTTGTGTGTGTGTGCTTTACTTATAAATATATAAACACCTCTATTGCAGTGAACTGGAAAAGAGTTTGAGTTACAGAAGAGTAACAAATCTGAGCAGCAGATAAAAATTGACATTTGTAACCCTTTGTGTGTAAGCCAAGAATTAATTAAATTACATTCATTTAATATGCATCACTGTTTTAACTTCTTTTTTCTACTTACTTTCTTTTTCTCCTTCATTTTACTGATGCTTTTGTTTAAAGGGACTGATGCTTTTGTTTAACCACTTGTGGTTTTCATTGAGCACAGTAACATGTTGTAAATGATTAAATATAGGAGAGAGAGAGAGAGAGAGAGAGAGAGAGAGAGAGAACTCAAGGGGTAGCTCTCTCAAAACTCTGTGCTGACTTCTGCATATTAGACTGAATGTATGTTTACAGAGGGAGCGATGGATGGCTGTCAGGCCACTGTGAGTTAGAGTGAGTCTGAAGAGGGCATAAGCAGTGATTCAGACCACAATCCATCACCGAGCTGTCAATCAAACTCCCATCGCGTCCCCTGCCCAGGCCCACTTACCCCTCACCAACAGGACCAGCTCTTTCTTCTGCTGCTTTCCACTTTCTCATTTCCTAGCTTTCTCTCTTCATCTCCATCACTCTTCCTATACCACTGTCTCATGTCCCCAGTGTCTTTCTTTTTCTGTCATTCAGTTAGGCTATTCGGCCAAGGGTCAGTTTCCTGTTCCATTGAATAGCTCCGGATGGACAGATTCAGGAATGAACAGAGCTTATAAACAAACAAATTTTAAATAGACACTAAAGACAATCAGAGGGAAGACCATAGATGAATTCATTGATGTTCTGTTGAATACAAAAATCAGCTAAAACTTTAAAACAGCAAAAAACAGCACTTTATTTTTAGATTTTAGACAG